AAAAAAAAAGCAAAAACATGGATGCTTCTTCTAAATTGCGTTGGTCTGTTGGCAAAGTTTTGTCGCTGTACTGGGACAAAATGTGACAAAGTAAAAGGGGAATGAATACTTTGACTGGACACGGCTCCTGTCCAGTAGATTGTTGTAAGGATCTCCTGACATCGCGTTTGGCGAGACAGTGAAGCTACGGGGAGAGCAGTGTGTGTAAATATTCAGCGGCTCTGGCTTATTGATGAGGCGTTAGCTTTTGACTGAAAAGACTGGCAAATGCTTAAAGCATGCATGATTTCTATTACAATCAACCCCTTGTTTGCTTATGGTTTTACAGATGGTAGTTCAGTAAACTCTCCATGTGTTAGACAAAGACTTAAATCAGTTGGTTGGATGGCTTTCAAGTTACCAGCTTAACCACATTCTTCACTGAAATACACACACACAAAGTGTTTTCCTCACGAATTGGAGGTTACAGTTTGAGCCACTGTTTGTCCGATATAAGCTGCTGTATGTGAGCTCAGAGTTGGCTCCAAGCTACATCACCTGTGGTTCTGAACAGATGGCGGCAGAATCCCACCCACCTCTCTCCAGCTCAGCACTATTTAAAACCTCTGATTGGCTAGAAATTCTCCAAGGAGGAGGAGTTAGTGTAGAGGGAGAAAAAAAGTCAGGCTCCACATACCTGTAACCCATGGCGTTCTGCATAGTCTGGTATGCAGGCTTTGAGCCCAGTTTGAACCCGTTTGGGGTTATCATCCCCACCCCCCTCCGTCTGTTCAGTTGTGTCGTATTTGGCAGCGCAGTGCAGATCCTGCACATTCCCCACGCCCCACACCTGTCATTCTGCGGGCCGTTGGTTTGGCTCCACTTGCTGTATTTTTATTTTATTTTATCCCACCCCCCAAATGCATGGCTTCCATGTGGTGCTTCCATCTGCCCCCTTGAACCCGACGCTCGACACAACCTCAGGCACGCTGGCTGCATCGACGCCGCTTGCGCTCGCAGCATGGTTCTCAAACAATGTGCTGTTGCAAAGCGGGACGATGTGCGGATTTGTCGTCGCTGCAGACACGTCGATGTTGAGATGCACCAACGTTGTCCTGAGCAAGCGTCGTCATTTAGTTTAGACGCACAAGGTGATGCATGTCACCGAACCAGGGTGGGAAATAAATCTCTCTGGTCCACTTGCAAGAATCGATCTCTAAACTCTGAAAAGCAACTCATGTTTTTGCCGAAGCTTAAGACTTAAAGTTTTATCACGATATTTTGTAGTAATGTTGTGATAACGATAAAAGTGCTAACTAGTTAATTATTTTTAGGTAATGGCTATGGCTGAATGATACAGCAATCATATCCTTACAAACACAAATACTGCTCCTGAAAAACATCCCCATTTGTAATGCACTACTTTAGGACAGTCATTGTAAAAAATGTGATTTGTATTGATAAATTACTCACAGCAACTGAAATTTATCATATTTTCAAATGTATTGATACACTTTTTGTATAAACATTGGTAAAAATAGTAAAAACTAACAATTCAGACAGTGTTGGGGGTTATAAACATCAGTAATTTGAATTTATTGTGACAACGATAAATCAAAATTCTTATCACAAGAAATTTATCACGATAAACGATACGATAAATGCCCACCCCTAAGCTGTAAGTCAGGGAGGAACTTCACTTTGTGGTTTTTAATCTAAACATTGAAAATCAGATTTTTTTTTCTTTTAATCCGGAGTATATTGTGGAATTATCGAATTTGCAAGTGGTAGATCTTGATTTTTCACCCTGTTACTTGGTTAAAAATGGCGTCGTATGCTGTCACCCCGGCTACATGCATTGTAGCCATACAATCCATCACATTACACCGAAGCTCAGTATTTCTTTCCCTCATTTTTATAAATGTCACCTTTTTTTTTTTTTTTTTTTTTAAGACCGAGTGAGAACACCTCAGTCTTTGCTTTCTGAAGACGATTGGTTTTCTTCAGGGAGCTGCAGCGTTCTCCCACGTCGTCCTCTGACTGTCTTGGCTTCCTAATCGTCTCGTTTTGAGCAGGAAGGCAGACTGACCGGCTGTCCCTGTGCCTTGACGTCTCCTCTCCTCTGGTCTGTTTCAGCTGGTGCTGCCAGAGTATCTCATCCATTTCTTCTTCTGCGTGATGTTTCTGTGCGCGGCCGAGTGGCTCACCCTCTTCCTCAACTTGCCGCTGCTGGCTTATCACGTCTGGAGGTGGGTAACCGAGCAACCGGCTGACCGCCGAAACAGGAATCCTCTGCTTCGTTTGTGACTAACAGGTTTATTTATTAATATTTTTGCTGTGCCACAGGTATACGAGCAGACCTGTGATGAGCTGTCCAGGACTCTATGACCCGACTACCATCATGAATGCCGACATCCTGGCCTATTGTCAAAAAGAAGGCTGGTGCAAACTGGCTTTCTACCTCCTCTCATTCTTCTACTATCTCTACGGGTACACAGCTTTTTCCATTTCTCACTTTGACAATCGTACAGAAGCTCTCTGCATTGGTTGAACATGCGGCTCTGCAACCTGCGGAGTCGCAGCTGGCTCTGAATAACTTTGGCTGAAACTGAAAAGGAGCCAGTTGATGGTTTTAAATACAGATATAACAATTTTAAGGTTTTTTTTTTTTTAAATTCTCCTGCAATATTTGCACTGAATTTTCACAAAGAATGACAAACACTAAAATTCCCATTAATGTTTTTAGACCCGTTTTCCTTGCCCTTTAAAAAAAAGACACAAAATGCTTGTTCTATAAAGATTACAAGAAATTTCCCAAAGGAGATATTTGTGTAAAAAGTTGTATTTTTTTCAGTCATGTGACCTTTTGCAGCTTTAAATTATTTTTTTTCCCAAAATGGCTCTCTGCTAAAATCTAATTGAATACAAAAGAGGCTTTTTTTTTTTTAACTAAAGTTTTAGATTTGTCAAAAACATGAAAGTTGATGTTTCATGACTGTAATAGAAACGCTCCCACTTTTAACACACGGTAAGAAAATGTGTATTTTTTTATTTTTATTTTTTGTCAACACTGTAAATTTTCAGCAGATGTATTTAAATTGTGGCAACACCCTGAGTCGTTATTTTGTCAGTCACAGATGTTGAAAATGTTGCACCATCTTACTGGCTGTGGTCATTAGGACCCAGGCGGTTGTGAGTGAACCTGACGGTAATCCTAATCTGTCTCTTCCAGAATGATCTATGTTCTGGTGAGCTCCTAAAGACGTGGAGGGAAACGGACCGAGCCGTACAGTAGATGACCAGACACTATGATCCAAGTGCTGGAACACTGGACCTGCTGGAGACCACTGATGAGCAACACGAGCCGTCATTTCAAGTGGATGAGCCCCCCCGACAAACACACACTCACACACACAGTGCAGAGAGTCATTCTGGAAACTTCTAACCTCTTTAAAGACTATCTTGGTCGCAGCGTTTCCGTCAAAGCACTACAACTTAAAAAAAAATAGTCTGGAAATACGGACAAATTTCAATGGACAAGTTCATCTTTTTTTTTTTAATGCTTGAGATTAAATAAAAATAGTTTTCCATCTTTGCTCCCTGCTTTCGAGTGTTTACAGATTAGGATTTGAGGTTTGTGTGCGTGAATCTAAACGTGTGCTGATCTGCTTTACGGTTTTTTTTCCTTTTTCTGGATTGTAACAGCTGATGTACTCTGACCAGGTAGTTTATTGATCTTGGCTGCAGACAGCTCAGTCTGTTCAGACTAAAGATGGACTGAAGGAATAAAAGACGAGCGTCATCTTGTAGTGAAACATGACGCACGCACCGTCTTATCAGGGTTTTTTTTTTCCCCAATGAATTGTTTCAATATTTAAAATCTACCTGTCCAATATTTAGTTGTCTATATTAATCATGAGGGGATCATGTGTGGTTTATTTTCTGTAAATTTTCCCTTGTAGCTCTGAGTTAAGTGAAAGGCCGACTCGACAGCGATGTATAGAGCTTCAGTAGCAAACTGCTGATGTGCCATACTGTTGAATCGTACCTTTTGATCTGTTTTTGGTTGATTTGAACACAAATAGTCCACGTTGTTAGCATCTCTGGTCTATTTATTGTTTTCTGGATTTTTATACAATTTCCTCTGACATCAAGCACTCCTGCATCTCCAACTTATTTAGTTCAATAAAAGTTATTTAGCTCAAGCTTTCACTGGTTAGAGCAATGTCTTTCATTTTGCACCAGTCAGTTTAGACACCTTCCTGTCACATTTGGGAAAATAATTCAAAATAAAACCAAAACGCTGAAATTTTCTGCAATGTAAATTTTATTTATTTTTTCTTGTGCGGTGGATTAAGTAGTGTCACTTTAACAGACATGAAAAGGCTTTTTTTATATATATATATATTTTGGTACAGAAAATGTACGCATCTACTTTTTTTTTTAAAGCTTAAACACAGGCTTGTGTATTTTTAAAGATTTTAAGCCGAGTTGTGTTGTTACCTGAACCTTTTGGTTTATTTAAAAGCTCAAAGAAGTGATGTACTACTCTTAAAGTGCAGCTCTTGGAGAGTTAAAAATCACTGAATGCAGATGTTTACAGATTATTTTCTCCAGAATCACCGAGACACCGATCTCTCTGTGGAAGCCTCTCTGTTCTCTTTGTAGGCGGCATACTTCTCCCGAAACTCGTGAAGAAAATTGTATTGCTGCAAAAAAAAAAAAAAGATTGAGGCGTGCTGAATTCCTTATTCATTAAAAATACTATCTGACCTCACCTTCACCGTTTGTATTGCTCCTCCTCCTCTGTGCTCTCTGAGGATCTCGATGGCTTCGCTGGCCGTCATCGTCACCGAGAGCTGGAGCAACAGGCAGGCGGCGACTGAGTGGGAAACAAATGCTGCGAGTTAAGAGAAAGTTCAAACGAGAAGGTCATCACGTGAAAGCAGACTGTCCTCACTTAAAGCGGATCGCCCCAGGCCTCCGTAGCAGCTGCAGGAGGAAAGGAAAAGGCAGAGTCAGTTCAGAACTTCAAACCGCACAGGCAGAGCTTCGTTGTGGTTTCTATGGTGACCAGATGATGGCAGAGTATCTTTACTTACAGAAATATTTCCAAACTATAAAGGTTGGTTTAAAAAAAAAAATTGGCTTTCATTTCCTCCGATTTAGGATATCATGATGCATCAGCAAAAAAAGAAAACCTCTTACATGGAACCAAGAGAGGAATCGACATCCCTCCTGTCTTTTCACTGTTTACTTCCTGAATTAATTGATTGTAAAACCCTGACTAACGTTCAGGTTCCTGCATGATGAGAATCCTTCTGAAATCTCTGAACTGTTGGATCCTCCAGGTCCTCAAACCAAAATCTGCTGGTTGTTCCAAGAATTGCAGAACTTTCTGGAGCGATGCAAATCGATTTGCTTTTGAGAGTTTTAGTCGAGGATTTTTTTTATTCAAACATGCTATTCCTTAAGATCCTTTTTTAAATATTCTAAATCGGATTTAATTGTATTTAACATTTATTTCCTTTCACTTTGTGTTTTTATTCAGTATTTTAGTTTTTATGCTACCGTCTTTTTTTTTTTTTATTTGCGAGGTGCTGTATAAATTCAACCACTGCTGCCTAGAATTTTTTTGGTTTATTTAAGTAAGTTACATTTTCCTGTGCTGAGTTTTAATTTGTCCAAAGATTGCCTTTCATCAATGAGTTGTTAAATAATTGTGGGAAAGCGGTAAAACACGCAAACCTTGGAGAAGCTGTTTGTTAATCCACAAGTTGTTGGGCTCCTGAAAAGGTTTTCATGCCATATTTTACATTTTCTCCCATTTTTATAAATGTAAAAACAAAGCAGTGGATTTGGACGAGCTTTACCTTTCCAAGCTACTCATCGAGTCTCTGAGAGGTAAGTGAACAAACTTCAGTGTTTGGAGATCTTTTCCACTCAACATTTCAAATACATCCCTCATGTAGCCCGTGTGTGTGTGTTGGACTCACTGGACCATCGTTCTCCTGTTCCTCTCGAGGCAGACCTGCAGCTCGTCCAGGATCTGGCAGCACTGCTCCAGCTCGGGAACGTCTCCGTCGGGGAACGGCGCGTGGTGCACCGTGAAGCCGCGTTGCTCGTAGACCTCCAGGAGCGACGGGACCCTGTACCTGCTCAGTTCCCCTCTAGTGCACAAGACAAACACATCCTGCACCCCCTGGTTCTTCAGCTCATCTGGTAACGGCAAGGAATGCAAGTTCGTTTTAGACAAATTTGTCATTTTCCACTACTGAGTAAAAAGATTAAAAGCTGTGACGCCCATCAATAGAATAACAGCATAAAACACATTACTCAATGCAGTATTTAACTTTTATAATAAAAAAAATACTTTGTTTACATAATTGTTGAAACTATCACCATGTTCTGACAGCACAGTATGAGATTTGTGAAATAAACTGTTATGTTGAGTTGTTTAGTAGCATTCACACAAGTTTGATTGACAGCACTAAGACCCTCCTCCTGGCTCTGCTTGGTTGTTTGGAGCAGTGCATTTCTCCAGAGCACAGGAAGGAGATGGATCTTTTCACAGATATTCTGTGGTAATAGTTCAAATATGTAAAAAATACATATTTACACAGACAGTTGTATTCTGCAGCGTTAATGTCTGATCTGAGAAAAGATTCCTCAAAAACTGCCTTACCAACATCTCTTTGCAGGGACCTGCGAACATCTTTATACTTGCAACCTGGAATAAGAAGAAATGTATTATGTCAAAAAAAAAAAAAGTCTTTGTCCTAAAATAGACCTTTCAGATGAACATGATTTTACCTGGCAGTGCACATATTCCAAGGTACTGTGAGCACTCAACTATGGACAGAGGTAACCTGAAACCCAGTCAAAAATATTACAGGATAATGTTTTTTAAAAAGTCAGAATATTGCGTCTTCTAGATTCAGAGGGAGTATACACAGGACAGTTTTTAGATTTTTACTTCCACTTCTGCTTTGTGTCAATGACAAAATTACTGAAAACCCATTTAAATTTGTGGCCATAACGAGGAGCTTTAGAGGGGCGGATAATTTTGCGTGTTTTGCTTCATATACCAGCTCATGTGGAGCGGAGTCAGCTGCTCTTCTTCCACATCTTCATCAGAGGAAGAGTCAAACTCGGTCTTTCTCATGTCTTCAGACGCCTTCGAGAGAAGACTGGGTACTGTAAAACAATAACAATCACAGTAGGTTTCACAGAGTCAGACATGTTATATCTACCTTATTCTGAATTATTCAAAAGGCTTTTTTGAAGTTCTAATAAAACGCCAGACGGTACTATTTCTCACGTGCTAACGTCAGCTATCATTCCTACGTCATTTTAAAAAAGTTTAAATTCAGCTACTAAAATAATTATTCATACAACAGTCCTTAACAGCAAGCAGTTCTACAGTTTTTAAGATTTAAATGTGTATATATATGTATTTATTCTCCACCTTCTTCGCTCTCTTCGTGTCCGGTGTTTTGACAGCCAGTTCAAGTGCTACGATTTTAAAACGCTACAAAGCTATCGTCCAATCAGATTCAAGAGCTGACTCTTAACTCCGCCCACCGCAGCGCAACAGCCCGTAGTGGCGTTCGATTTATATTGCTGGGTCAAGCAAGCGTGGGCGGAGTGAAGACGACAAATCTCGAAGACTGTCTCTCTCTCAGTGGCGCCCAGTGTCGGTCCTGGAGGCCCGGCATCCTGCGTGTTTTAGTTCTCTCCCTGGTTTAACGCACCTGGATCAAATGATGGCTCATTAGAGGCCTAAGAAGAACACTGACATGCTGAAATGGTTGTTGCTACCAGCAGGGAGAGAACTAAAACATGCAGGATGCCGGTGGCCCTCGAGGACACCCCTGCTCTAAAACTAAAGTTGTGAACAACCAGCCTAAATTTTATATTTTAAATGTAAAAATAAAAAGAGAAACATCCTATACGATGCCAACTATTAAAACAGAGTGGGATTGTTGCGAATATTTTTACTTGAAAAGCTCTCTGCGTCCACAATGTACAAGTTTTCATATTTGCCGTTCACAACTATAGAATTATGTTTTGTCACATTTTATATCACTCATAAGAAATATGAACTCCTTGCAAAAGTATTTACATCCCTTTAGTTAATGTGACAAAAAGTCAGCAGGGTTCCAGCCTCTGGCTGTGACGTGAAGGGAAAATCATGAGTGTACTTGTATTGAGCCTCTTTACTCTGGTACCCCCCTTGTCAAATGTAGCTAAATTTCAGAAAGTCGGCTATATGTAAAATAAAAATCTTAATATAAATATAGATTTTTTTTTTTGTGAAGTCTCAGAGGTTTGTTAATCAGAAAACAAACTAAGGCTCCACATCATCCCAAACACACCACTCTGACCTTGAAACATGGTGGTGGCAGCATTATGCTGAGGGATGCTTCTCTTCAGCAAGGGCAGGGAAACCAGTTGATGAGATTGTCATTGAATTTTGGAGGAAACAATTGAAAATGCAGCCAAGGTTCACCTTGTAGCAGGGTGACCCCAAAAACACGGCCAGAGATGCAATAGATCAAATTAAATTCATTTAATGGAGTGGCCCAGTCAAAGTCCAGACCTATTTTCAATAATAACCCTCCATTCTTTTACTTCCACCTCACAAATATTCTCTATTTTGTGTTTTCCTACATGTAAACTCCAGGTCGGAACGGCTGCAGATCTTTGATCTAGTCGATCCTCATAGAACAATCATAGAAAACAACAGACGACCTCCAGCCCTCTGATTTGCAGCGTGCTTCGCATCCTTCCTCTGAGGCAGCTACAAGCTCTGCCTCCTCACAGGAGGAGACCTGCTGTGGACACGGAGCGGCACCAAGAGCAGCACACGACACACAACGCCTAAAGACTCCAGGAGCGAGTGCACATTTTTCAAACTGGATGGAGAAGGAGAAGAACGTGAAGCCAGGCGAGTGTTTTCCAACTCCCTCTGCAACACAAGTTATTTTCATTTGAAGTTTTAGTTGAGAATAGCTGGACGGTTGTGTGTCATTTACATTATAACGAGGATTTTTCAAAGTTTTGAGTGACGTTACAGCCCATATGATTACTAACATATGGGATTGGATCAGTTAAAACATCACCTGCTTTCTGCTGGGTTTTACTTTAACGCCTGTTTAAACGACAAAGTGTTTGGCTTTTTTTTTTTTTTTTTTTATTTGAATTTAATTCGACGTGTTTCTCCGGGTTCTGCCTGCCCTTCTGTTTGCAGATTTCTAAGGAGGGATCTTGGCTCCTGCACCATCTCCCCCTGCGGCTCTTTTGGCTCGCTCAGCACTTCCTTAGCAGAGGGTCTGCTGGCAGGAGCAACATCTGAACAGGTAACACAAACACAAGAACACGAGGAGCAAAGAGACAATAAATCCACCTTTTTGAAGTGGAAGTGGCTTTAGGCAGGCTTTCATCCCTGAAGCCGTCAGACGGGCGGCTCAGTTTGTGTTCGTCAGTCGCTGCGTGTTTGCGAACAGGCTTGTTTGTGTCTCTCTCTGCAAAGGTCATGAAGCCCCAAGAGGCAGAGCTCGTCTCTGAAATCTCAAAGGTAAATTTCCCGTCGTCAGCCGAGCTCGGTGTGTTTAAAGAGACGGTACACGGTGAATCCTTCCATCGTTGTATTTGTCTAGTGGCAGCAAATGCAGCCTCTCCAGTGAGCAAGATCGTTTGATTGTAGCTTCATTTTATAAGTGAACGCCACAAAGTTCAACGTGTTTTATTGAAGAGGCAAATAACTGGTTGATAATTGTTAAGGGGAAGGAAATGAAATGTTTCAATATTTTTCTCTAAAAATAAGACATAAGACAATAAGACAGTTCCTGTCTTTGGAAGCACATCTCAACCCAATTCACACATCTGGACTGTAATTCTTAGTCAAATTTAGTTTGAACTTTGACTAGGTCATTCAGACCTCAGTGTACTTTAATCTAAGACATTTCATTGTGGTTCTGTCCGTTTGTTCCTGGTCTAGTTCAGTGGCTCTTTTGGACATTAGCTTTGACCCAGTTCATGTCTTTAAACACGATGCAATATTTCCACAAAGAATGACACTAAAAAGTTTTACATCTGTTTTTCCTTGTCATTATGATGGAATCGTCATTTATTTAAATATGCATCCATTTTATGTTTATCTTGATTTTAAATCCTCAATATAAAAATGAAACACTGGTTCTTAAAAAATATTAGAAGAAATCTAAAGAAGATAGTTATCTAAAAAAAAATTGACTTTTTTGTCACGTTACTTAAAAAAAAAATCATCATGTCTCAACATGGAGACGCTGTTTATATTGATACGGTAGTTTTTATTTTTGTTGCTTTTTTTTACTTTGGTGTGATGTAAAATAAAAACCATGCATCATTTTCTTTTCATTCCCATTTCATTAACTACTTTACATTGTGTTTTATTTTTTTTTTCCACATTAAAATCTTATAAAACACATTGAAAGTTCATGGTTGTAACAGGAACCGTTTCAGAAAAGATCAAGCCACTGTAGCGTCATGTTCACCGTGTGCCTCCGTAGCTACAGTTCATGGTCACAGAACTGAAGACGGGCTTCACCAGCGCCCTGCTGGAGCTCGGTCGGATCCAGCATGGAGACTCGCACCTGAGGGAGGAGCTGGAGGAGAACAGGAGGAGCTGTCAGAAAAAAGCTTTCCGCTTGGAGGCGCTGGTCGAGTCGCTGAGGGTGAGGCGGGACGTAGCCGTCCGTCCAGTGCACGGCAACAGGGATCAATGTTTGACTGTGACTGGGCTTTTTTTTTTTTTCCTCCCACAGGAGGAACTTGGAGTACTGAGGAGTCAAATTGTGCAGCTGTACAGCAACAGGCCCGGACCCGAGCTGGACGGAAAGAGCCTCACGTCCAAACCAAGAGAAAGGTACAACGGATAAGAAACCAGGAATGTTCACTCTGGCTTAGAAGGGCAGAAATCCAGACAGGCATTTTGAGCAGGATTCTGATTTTTAAGGTTGTTCTTTATGTCATACAGAGGGTCTGTCACGATAACAGACTTTGCTGGGCGATAAATTGTTCCAGACGTTATCGCGATAAACGATGATATTGTTGTCGTGAGACGATTTTTAATTAATAATAATAAAAAAAAAAATAATAAAAATAATAATAATAATAATAATAAAATACATTTTCAAATATCACTAAACTTTAAATTCTAATTAACATTTAGCACTGGAGCTGGAAGACATTTTAAGTCTCCAAAATAAATAAACAAAACAACAGAAACAATAAATAAAATTAATTACAAAGTCTTGGTAAACAAAATTATCCTCCAAAAAGACTTTTGTATCGTTTTTGGCAGAAAGAGAAAAACAATAAATCACGCCAAGGGAAGTTACTGAGTTTGTTTTAATTTATCATGTGATTAATTGGTATATCGATTATTGTGACAGGCCTAATTTTCATATATCTGTCATATATTATGCATTATATAATGCATTACATTATTATAAGTATTATATGTGCACACACATATGCAATGTGTGTCCTTAAGACTATTACTACTAATTGCTATTTATTGTGTTAATTTATTTATTTACTTATTCTTGATTTTTTTCTTGTGTGCTATCCTTACCTTATCTTATCTTCTAAGGCCATAGAGGAGGATTTTTAATTTTTAAATGTTTTCAGATTGGATAAATGCAGCAGGCAGCAAAACGTGTGGTATTTTTAATCACTGAAAAAATACGTCAGACCAGCTGAGAATCTCTCTCCATCTGTCTCCTGTCTGTTTCCAGCGATCCAGCAGAGCCAGCCGGTGTTTGTGAGTGTTGTGCTCCTCCACCGGCCTGCCTGTCCAGAGGGAAACTGCTCCTTCACTGCTTCCTCCAGGGTCTGAAGGCCGGGCTGAGCGAAGGAACAGGTCAGCCCCGAGGTTCTGAAATGTTCTGCTCCATTAAAACAATTTTTTTGGGGGGAAGGGCGCATTTAAAAGCTTTCTAAATGGGATTCAACCAGAGCCGGAATACAATTTGGATTCAGCCCTGAGCAGGATTTTATTTGGGGTCCTACTGCACCAAACTTCTAAAAAAAAACAAAAAGAAAACACAAATAAAAAAATAGAGACTTCATGCCTTTTCATTAGCTTGTTTTCCTCATACAATTACTGTAAATTAGACTACAAAGGTTTTTCTGGGTAAAGTTACAATCAATTTGTTAGTTGTTTTTTTTTTTTTTTTATTTTGAGTTATTATTCAGCTTTTTTCTTAATCCTTCAAATTGAGGCCCTTAAAAGATAAACTACAAATATTTATTTTCAAGTTGTAGTTCATGTGTGAGAAACCAAGCAGCGCCCTCTGCTGGCCAAACAGCCTCTTTGCAGCCATTCCTGGCCTCCGTGTTTCACATAAGGCCTTTGCTCTGTGTGCAGACTGGACGCTCAGCTTCCAAAGTGAATAATGATCTGAACAATGAATAATGAAAATGAAATATTCCAACACCAGACTTCCACTTCTTGCTGCGCAGATGCTCGACACCAGGTGGCCATGCAGCTCCTGCACTCTGAGTGGGAATACGTGTCGACCCTGAACCAGCTGTACGACAAGTACAAAACACCGCCAGCTCACCAGACCACCGGAGAGCCGTAGTGAGTCCCGCCTCGGGTTAAAACGGTGTTAAAACCGGAGAGAAAGTTTCCGCTTTGCTCTGTGTGACTGAGGTTTTCCCCTCTGTCGTGTGGCCCAGTCAGACGTATGTGAGGTTCGTGGAGCAGCTCCTGCAGCGACATGTGCTCTTCAGGAACACCCTGCAGGAGAGGTTATCCGCCGAACACTGGAAGTCTCTGGTCGGCGACATCCTGGTGCAGCTCATCGGCCAAAACGACGTGAGATCTTCCCTCTTCCCCCTTTTTTTTTTTAAGTCACTTCCAGACATTTCCGGCTGCAGGCTGCTGACTTTGACTTTGGTTGTCCAGACAGCTTTTTCAGATATGTATCTCGGATACACGACGACGTTGGCGTCGTTCCTCTCACTCGAGTTCAACCGGCTCAATCAGCAAGGGAAAAGCCTCCAAACACAGGCAGGTGACGTGTGACAATGTGCTGACCTCACACCAGGCACAACTGGGAGGACATGGTCACCAATGGCAACTTTCTGCTGGTTCCCACAGAGCGGCCAGATGGAGAGAGAGGAGATAAAACTGCTCTCTGTGCTGTTGGCTCCTGTTGCTAGGATTCACAGCTACCTGAGTCACATTCAGGTGAGTTATTGTAGATCTCCTGTAGTGGTCTGTATTACAACGAATTTGGAAAAAGCCTCTGACTGGAGGTACTCTGCTTTTCTATGAAAATATTACAATGCAAATTCAGAGACGCGTGGCATGCAGTTCTGTTCAGCCCTCACGAGTCAATACTTTGTGGAACTGCTGAAGAAGAAGAGTATCCCCCACACCATGACCCTGCCACCACCGTGTTTTACTTTTGGGAGGGGCGAGTTTGGATTGATGTGCAATTTTAATTTAGCTAGCGTTTTGAAAACAGGCTACGAGGTTCAGTTCTGGTCTGATATGAGGAGAGCCGTCCGCTGTGTCGTCTGTAAAGTGACTTCATCTGACTTTCTTTAAAAAGTGCGTTTCTTAGTGGTAAGACTAGTACAAGATATTTGTGCATCCTTAGAGAGTCTTAAAAAGCCTTAAAGTGACGCATCTAAGTATTAAGGCCTTAAAAATGTCAAATTCATTTTAAAAACCCGAGTTAGCCTTAAATACGCTAAGCACAAGTCTGAAATTTAGCCGTGGCAGGACTATTTAATCTTTTATGTAGTTTTGTTTTTTTGTGGCAGTAATTTGCGGCTTGTGCAGACATCTTCAGTGTCTTGATGCGGCGGCAACTAGCTGCTACAAAACTCTGCTAGCTAGTTAGCAGGCTTTTTTGCATCTCTCATAGGTAAGTGTATTATCACTTGGTTGGACAATATTTGTTTTTGCCACTGCCTCACTTTTGTTCCCAGCCAACGTGAGTTAAGGATCTCTCAATTGTTCCCTATATTTATAGTTCTTTTGGTCTTAAATTTCCTTCAGGCTGACCTTAAAAAAGTCTTAAAAAGTCTTAAATTTGGCTCGCTGAAATCAACAGACCCCCTGTAATATCTACAGATTCTATTGATGAAGTTCACTGGGTTTCATAAAACAAACAAAAGAGTAAAGTCAAAGTCAATCCCAGAATTCAGAATACACGAGTTTGTGGTTGCAGTATGAACACGGGAAGGGATTTTTGCAAGCTAACGTACTTACAACGATGCGTAAAATGTCAACTATTTTACAACTGACTTAACTTACAATACTTCCTTACGTTCCTGTTGAAGAACCTGCTGCAGTGGACCGGTAAGGAGCATCCTGACTGCAGCCTGTTGCTGGGGTCTGAGAGAGCTCTGAGGAGCGTTTTGTCCCGCTGCCACGTGATCTTGGAGGAGGACGTTCGATGGGAGGAAGATGAGGAAGCTGGGCAAAGGTGAGGGAGTACAACAGGACAGAAGATATTCAGTGTTTTGAAAAGTTTATATGGTCTTTATTTGGGGCTTTACTGATGTTTTTGGGCCACTTTGACTACGGTGGAATGATGATGCACCATACAACAAAACTTGGTGCTCGAGTCTGAATTTAGTGTGGAGTTATTTTGAATCCTTTGACTTTTAACTTCCAGAGACCAACTAGCTGAGTGGTGATGTTAAACTGTCTCCACTGTGGACAGGAACACGTCCAGTCCATGACTGACTGGAGCTTTGGTGATTCCAGGATTGATCTTGAGCCTCTTGACCGATTCCCTTTCATATTAAGTTGGGTCAGATGGTTGAAACGGGGAGCTACAGCTGGACATTGAGTCCAAATGCACTTTAAAACTGGATTTGGAGATGGCGAGTCAAACTTCTCCAGTGGCTTCGACCTCATTTCATTTGTAACAGTATGAATTACGAATCAAGGCTGGGTTCATGGCAGGAATCCAACCAATTTGAGGTCATTCTACCAATTCTGCCTGGATGAATTCTGCATGTTTAATCAAACAATATTCATTCTGTAAGTTTGACAATGTGTGAATTGGAGAAAGTCATGTTTTTTGTTTATTAGATTTCATTTTTGAACTTAAGTATTTAAATGTTAGCCATAATTTGTTGCTGAGAGATTCATCCCCTGACGTGAACAGCGCCCCCTGTGATGCTGCAGTCGCTGCGTCCTCCGGAAGCTGCTGCACCAGGAGCCAGCAGATAAGAGAGGAGTCCAGCTCTGCTGCTCAGAGGTGTGTAGACCTCGGCGTTTCTTGCAGTGGCTTTGACATTTTTAACGATTCAAATCGGCGTCCAAAAGCGGGATTTCCCTGCTGAAAGTTCTTTTTTGTCTCAGAGATGTCCAGCTGGCTGCTCCTCTCACCAATGGGGTGGATGGCGGTCACTCCATGCGCCTGGAGTGCTGGTCCTGCAGCCCGGTGAGGAGGAAGAGCTTCCTGAGAGACCGGGCCGCCCTGAGGCAGCCCGTCTGCCACTGCGGTCATGCGTGCTGCTCTCTGCTCGCTCCGGACGTCGTGGGATGGGGAGAAAACAGCGACTCGGGTCAGGGCACCTTCAGCCAGCCCACTGTGAAATCCGCCAACGACCCGGAGACGACGCACGCAAACAGCGAGACGGACGACACCTCCGCCTTTGACTATTCCTCCGTCACCTCCTGCAGCCCGGATGGCACCCTGCGCAGGGAGGTGGTGGACACCAACAGTGGGGAGGACGAGGACGACGAGGACGAGGAGGACAGCCAGGTGCCCGTGCTGCTGAAGCCCTCATTCAGCCAGCAGCAGCAGGAGCAACCGGCGCCGGCGGGGGAAACCAGAGGCAGAACTGTGTGTGTGAGGTGGCAGATTCCCAGGTTCACCCCTCACCCTCCTCTCAGGAGCCCTGCAGGGCTGCATGCGGACGGACCGACGCCTTGCCTCATCAGCTCCTTTGGGAAGAGACTGGTCAGCCTGAGGAAAGGGTCGCCTCCTCCACATCTGAAAAGTGCCTTCAGGCCCATCTGGGACGATCCATCCAAGCAGGTACTTCAACGTTTTGCTTGTTTGGATCCAACGTCTGCCTTGCTAAAGGACTTTTAGCTGCAGAATGTTTTAATTTTCATATCTTGTCGCTGATCCTCAATTAGAGTCCTGGACTTGGTCAGTCTAAGATACGAGTATGCTTTGATCAAAGTCATTCCACTTTTTGGCTCCGTTTTGTGCATCTATCACATAAAATCCCAAGAAGCAACACTGTCACTTATGGTCACAATGTGACAAATTTCAGAAAATTCTGGATATATTAATACTTTTGCACTTTATCTATGAAAATCCCCACTGCTGGGAATAAAAAGCCATTGGAGTGGATTATTACTGTGCTTTAGACATCAAACTTGATCTTCAAATCCACATTTTAGATGTTTCCCTGCTTCTACACATGTAATGAAATTGAATGGGCTCCAAAAGGACTTCTGCTGAACTTTATGCCAAGCTGATTGAATCGTGTCACTCAGGTGTGTTGGAGCAGGTGCATTTCAAAACCATGATGGACGGTGAGTCCCGAGGACTTTAACATCCTGTGATGGGAAAACCATGCATGTTAGCTTATTTGGTATTTCTAACTTGGACTTAGGTATGGGTGTGTGTGTGTGTGTGTGTGTATGTGTGTGTGTGTGTGTGTGAACCAGGTTCTTATGTCCTATTTCTGCCAACAATGTGGGGATATTTTCTCGGTCTCCATGAGGGAAAAGACTGTTTTTGATTTAGAGGTTAGGTTTGGAGCTAAGGCGTGAATTGACTTTTGGTGAGAGTGAGGCATGTGATGGTTAGACTGTAGAAACTGAATGGAAGTCAATGTAAAGCCCCTACAAAATACAAAAACATGACTGTTTGTGTGTCTTTGTGTAATGTGTGGCCTTGTTTTTGATACGGTGTAAGGACCATTTTCCTAACAAATACTAGTTAGTGAGGAGCGACTGCTGTTAAAATGCTGTTTTTGGGTTAGTTGTTAGGTTTAGGGCCAAAGTTTGAATTGAGAGGAAGTTAGGTTTAGCATAAGGGTCCAAATAAATTACAAATGAACAGAAGTCAATGCAATATTCGTGAAAATAGGATGACAAATGTGCGTGGCATGTCACACACCCCTAAACCCAATCCCCAACGCTCCGCGATGCAAGAAGAAATGGCGATTGTGTTGAGTTTGGCTCCCCCGTGTGGCCAAAAGATATAACCGCAAAACAAAATCAGATTAGTTTTCAAAAATCGATGAATTTATAAAACAATAACTTAACGCTTATTCTTGTGTTCTAGTTCAGATAAAGCACATTGACATAATGAACCCTGTATCTGACGTCCTTCCTCTGTTCCTTTAAATGTGAACGACCGTCTGGATCAGGCCGATTCCGCTCCAGAGAAGGACAGCAGACCTGCTGGGTTCGTTCCAGTTCCAGCTCCAGTCAGGAACAACTTCCAGGCTTTCGCTCCCAGCAGGGAAAACCTGAGGTAACCCCAGTGATAAATGATGCACTGGCTTCACATGGAAGATGAACTACTGTGATTTTATAGGAAAAAAAAATTACAGATTGTATTTGAACTTTTATTTCATAACACAAAGGTGTGTACACATGTTTTAATGTCAATTCTCTCAAACAAGTAAGAAATACAAATAATTTATGCTAATATATTCATGTTAAAATAAATTGTAGATTAACATGTCGCTTCTGGGATCATTCTGGATGGATAGTTTTTCTATTTGTCCAGTTAAAATGGTCAGCTTTTATTAAAAAAATAAAATAAATATTCTCTGTTAGTTTCCTGGATCTGACCATATTTTTAAACACTTCACACATCATACGTGTAGATGAGGTCACAACGATCATTTGGTTTTATGTGATATTGTTTGTTGCATCATTCCGTGTAGGAAGAGAAACATTTCAAATGCGACATTTTCGGTTCTGAGTGAAAATAAACCAACCTGAACTTGGTGCTTTGTGTCTTTTTGTCCTCAGACCTGCGCCTGCTCAGCAGCGAGGGACCTACGGACCAGCCGTGGACGGGGGAGGACTGTGGGACAGTGAGGACAGCGAGGGACCTTGCAGCACAGTTTGACTTTTTGCAAAAAAAAAAAAAAAGGCAAAACATCTAGATGCTCTTCATTTCAATAAATTCATTTGAGATGTTTTGTGTGAGCAACAAAATTGCTGGTCTGCCTCTGTGATCTCCAGCTCGAAGGGATTTAATGAAGTCAAATATTTGCTAAATTTGACTTCATTTTTCTTCCAGCCGTGATGGTGACGACTGGAGGATGGATGAAAACAAATACAAAGGAGACCTGGAGGGAAATCTGCCAGGACTCGATGACGGGTCTTTCCTTCCCGTTTCTCTGCACCACTTTGCTTTGGCCTACAACAGGAAGCAAGAAAACCTGAGAAAATGTCAACTTTATAGTTCCAGTACATAAAAGAAACAAATGAGAAATAAGTGGTTCAGTACAAAATAAGACTGGGTGATTTATTAATCTCATCAAGATCATTAATACAAAGCAGTTAAAAGGCCACATACCATCAAACAAACTGATTGCTGGATCAAGCTGTTACAGTGCCATCAACAGAGAACTTAATAGTTATTTTGAGGGGTGGGTGGATGTGAGAGGGGCGGTTTGAAACAACAACAACAAAAGAGACCTTGGTAAGATCAACCCCATCAATACTGACACGGGAGCCTCTGAGACGGGGAAAACGAAGACGAAACGACAAAGAGTTCTCACATGAAACCAGAATGAAAATCCTCCCAAACACCGCGTCGCAGGACTAGTTTGAAAAAACTCCATCCTCCTCCTACCTGAACTCAAAGTGAATGAGCAAAAATCTATATACATATATATATATATATATATGTAGTTTTTTTTAGAAAGAGTTGTTCGTGGCGATTAGACGCCGACCGAGCGTTCGGGTGAGATGGAAAATGTTGGAGAAATAAAGAAAAGGAAAAAACTGAGGTGGTAGACTTGTGTCTTTCCTGGCCTGATCTGTGTTGCCCAGGGTCACTGCATTTACAAACATTCCTGTGACAACTGTGGCTCTTAAACAGTACAGCCTAAAGTGCACAAAGTGTGTTCCCCCCAAAAAAACCAAACAAAACAAAACAAAAAAAAAACACACACACACAAAGAAAACCAAAACTAAATAAAAAACACCCCCCAATTCTTTACTATGCGCCAAAACTTGTGACTTGAATATATTCCATTGCAACTTTAATACTACTCCAACCTCTGTTTGATGAGCGTAAGCATTAAAAAGTCTTTGAAAGGGAGATAAAAAGGCAATTAGTAGGATGTACAAAGTGAAGCACGCGTCGTCTGTGTGTGTAAGTGCTTGGTGTATTAAGCTGGATCATTTCCATTGCTTTGGAGCACCAGAGGGGGAAATTAATGGCTTTTCCTGGGAAATAATCGCATTGGCTGAACTGGAGATTGTCTGCAAATTAGCAACAGTGACCTGTTTTTTTTTATTTTTTTTATTTTTTTAATTTTTTAAATTTCATTTTTAGCCCACTGTAGCAGCGTTGGATTCTTAAGAAAAAGACTGGAAAAAAAAAGGGGTAGTTGATGGTACGTTAAGACGGAGGGAGGAGGGAAAGGATTTTCACTTTATACAAATGACTCAGTTAGTGTATACATGTTATATATACACACAGCATGAACAAACGTACAATTTTTTTTTATAGTGTATAGCTTTTGTTCTAAACATTACATAGGCAACTTTTCTTTTTTTCTTTTTTTTTCCTTTTTTAAGCATTTTAGACACCGTCTGCTGTATTTCCGGAAAATAGAAAACGAACTAAAAAGGCACATCCGAGCGCGAGGCGTGGATCGTTTCAGTCTGTCCGAACCGAAACCAAATGTTTCAAAGCCAGAAAAAAAAAAAGAGGAAGAAGTTGGGTTAAAAAGTTCCTTTTTTTTAATTATTTTTCATGGGTTTCAGGCATCGGGAGCAGCCGCTGGGGGGAGAAAGAGAGAGAGAGAAAGTGGGGAGGAGCAGGAGGAGGGTGAAAGGCTGAGCCATCCTCCTCCTAAAGCTTTGGTGGGGGAAATGCTTCCAGTGCAAAAAGTCTCAACACAAATAAAGAAGCTGGAGTCGAGGGCAGGAGGAGCACAGTGTCGGACAGCGGCGTGACGTCCGGGTGGAGGAGGCGGGCGGTCGGTTAAGATGTCGGCGTCGTAGAGTGAGGTCCGTCCAACCTGAACCTGCTGACTTTGCCCAACGCTTTGTGCAAACGGAGTGTTCTTGGCTCAGCTGTCGTGTCTGTCTGGGCCAATAGGACTGGGGTCAGAGGTCACCGCTGTTGGATTTTTCTTTTTAGAAAGAAAGAAAGAAAAAAAAAAGAAAGGCAACATTTTTCTTTTGTGGCTGCGGAGAGGTTTTTAGGCAAATAACCTCCAAAACAAATAAAACAAAACAAAGACAGTTTGATACTTTACAGTCACAGTGTACAGCTTGAGATACAAAGTGAGGGAGGGGAGCGGCGGGGGGAGGGAGGGATTCAGCTCTTTGTAGTGTTTCGTTTAGTGTTTAGAATCGCTTTAAAAACAAAAAGAAAATCCCTTTTCCCCCTGCATAAAATAAGACTTTGGCAACTGTCTTCAGTTAGTAGGACAGAAACAAAAGAAGAAAGACAAAAGCGAAGCGGATCAGCTGAAGGGCTTCGGACGATCTCTGAGCTGCAGAGGGAAAGCCGACTGACGTCAATGCCCAAAAGGAAACGGAGAAAGAAGCGCGATTGAGGCTACGGAGTCTGAGGAGCCTTGGGGGTAAAGACGCCCCCCCACCAGGAGCTGGCCATCCCTGCGCCTCGCAGACGCAGACGCTCCTGGGCTGTTTGCTAGCTGGCACAGCGGTGTGAGTTTCGTCGTTGGCACAGAGGGTTTGCAGAGGAGGCGGAGCTACTGATCCCCTGAGCGGACGAGGCAGGTGTGGTGGGATTGTTGCGGAGCGGCTCCTGTTCTTTTTCAGATCAGCGGCTCTTGAGTTTTTTTTTTTTTTTGGTGGCTTACGGGGGCAGAGTCGCCTCACTGGCTGCTGTCGGTGTTCTCCACCAATGGGAGGCTCTGCAGCGGCGGCGGCTGCAGAGCCTCCCGTTTATACGTCTTTGGCGGGAGCTTGGGGAGCTGTGGGACGGGGTTGTGGCGCGGGGGAACGGGCGGGGCGGCGGTGGGGAGCGGGCAGAGGCTGTTCTGGCTGGCGCTGAGGGGGCAACCCCGCCGGGGGACACGTGGCGATGGCGTGCTGGGCGGTGTGTTGGGCGAGCTGGGCGAGCTGTTCAGGTCCCAGTTGTAGCGGGCCACGCCCGGGCCGGGCGACGGCTGCGGGTAGTTGATGAAGATCTCCGGAGGCCGCAGGGGAACCGGCGGGGGCGTGTCGGGGAGCGGGTCCCGGGGCGGTGGGGGCGGCGGGCTGGGCAGGGGTCCGTCGTAGTGGGGGCCGTTGTAGAGCGGAGAGCGGTGCTGGTTCCTCGGCAGGGGGGGGAGCCGCGGAGGGATGGCTGGGGGGCTGTCGCACATGGAGCTCTGCTGAGACACACACACACCAAACAATGTGTCATTTAATGATATTTATCGCCCCCCTTTCGTGATACCACAAAATAAAATCAGGTGCTTCTATTTTCCAGATCAGGGTTTTAACAGCTTTGAGTTTTTTTTTTAATTATAGTTTAGTTTTATTTTGTTGTGACTTTTTGTTCGTTTTATTCAGTTTATTTATTTATTAGATTTTTTTGGCTCTAGTTTCCTTTATTCAATAGTTAATTGACAGGAAAGTTGGTAATGAGAGGAGGAGGAAGACATGCAGCAAAGGTCACCAAGGCTGGGAATCGAACCTGTGACAGCCGCGTCTCCATATGTGGGTTGTGCTTCTTAACCCCTGCGCCACCACAGCACAACCCAGTCTTATTTATTTTTGAATAAAGTATTTTTTAGTTTTAGTTAGTGTTTAGAGTGTGTTTGCTTTATAGTAGCAGATTTTTTTAGGTGCAGAATTCAAAAAGGTCAAAGTATTGTGATTATGTTCACACTGATTGGACAATGAATTCTTAACAGAGGAAACTATTTTCTAAAGATGTATTTGATTATTGTTGATCAGCTGAATTTGAAAATCTAATAAATAGATTCATAAAATCAGAGAAGGAACAGCATCATGAAGACCAGGAGCGATCGCACTTCCACTAACTTGCTGATAGTGCAGCCAAGTTTTAGTTTAGTGCTTTAGAGCTGTTGCTAAATTTGACAATGTTTGGCACACTTTGTTTCCCCTAAATTAATTTTTCCGGGTAAGTTCTAAAGAGCTAATTCACTTTCAGCTGAGTGAACCTTGAAATGTTTCGAGACGTTTTGGTTTTCGACTGTCGGGAATTAGTCAAGTAACGATTATATCCATGCTTTTATTTTGAAGTGGGCAAAGGCCACTGTTGATGCACAACTTCCCTTTCCTCATATTTTAGTAGAATCTGAGCAGCAGGCTACTGAAAAACACACGACAGTTTAAGGTTGTTTATTTGCTAAAACCTTTAAAAGCATCGATCATTTCCTCTCAGTATTTTTTGTCTCAATCCATCACATGATATTCATGTACCGAACAATTAAATTTACTGTTTATGTGAAAAATGTGTATTTTTCACATAAATCTGAATTAAGAAACTATGTACTTTTTTTTAAACAACCTCCTCATCCGTCACATTCCTCTGATATGTCGAATGTAAATCTGTCCGAATGCGTCGACATTTCTCTTCTTCAAAGATGAAAAACAGGTTCTCTCGTTTTTTTCTAGTGGAATTTTGTAAATTTCAACGGCGTTTTAAAGTTTCCCCGTTTTCTCACCTCCTCTCCTGCACTCTACCAACAGTCAATTGTCACGTTTTCGTTTTGTCGCCATTTCTTACTTTCGCTTCGGACACGGTGTCTTTCCTTCGAGGAGGTAGAGGAGGCGGCTTCGGCTCCTCTACCAGCTGGTGGAGGCTGCCACAGGAGACGGACTGTAACTCTGCAAACGACCAAACAGACAATAATTAAAGAAATGAAGGAGAAAAACTATGAGAACTAAAAACTGATCACTCACTTGAAGGGTTCAGAGGACAGGGGAACATAGAGCCTGAAAGGTTCAAACACAAAGAGGCTGGTTAAGAAACAAACATAAAAAAAAAGTACAAATACTTTTAAGTGATAGAAATCTATGTAGATGTTTTCCCCACAAACATTTTTCTTTTTAGAAATGGAACTCACTGCCGTAGGAGCTGTTGAGGTCGTGGTCAAAGACCGGGCCGAGATCAGAGGAGGCCGACGGCGGCGGGGTAGGCGTGTTGGGAGAGGTGGGCACCGAGGCCGAGGACGGGGGGTCCTGGTCGTTCTCAGCGATGCTGCGGAAGGTGATCTTGTGCTGCAGGTCCCGCTCCAGGGCCACCGGGTGGCCCTTCAGGGTGCCAGAGGTAGACGTTCGCACGGGCCGGAGCCCGGGGGACTTCAGGGAGTACGTGGTCTTCCTGGGCTGCAGACGGAGAGGAAGGGGAGGAGAATCATAAGGTGAAGGACAAAACATAAAAACGCACTCTGGCAGGAGGCTTTAGATAATTTAGAAAGGGTTACGGCGTGGTTTTAAATTCAGAAAGTTTGGATCGGGGTTTGTCTACCGCCTTCCGATTCAGCACAGATTAAAGACGCACCAATTTGATATTAATATCTATAACGTGCTCGATCTACTCAGTCTAATTCTACGCTTTGTGCTCCGAGCGACGTCATGCTTTATTATTCGTTTTACATTATATTTAAAATTCCTGACAACACTTTCTGAACCATTTGGAAGAAGATTTTTGTTCCAGTTAGTTTTTACGTGTCTGAACCAAGCAGTCGACCTGTCGTTTCAGTTTCTTTATCGTTTATTTTACGTCGGCTGTTTTACTCCTAATTGCACTGACTGAACAAATTAAAGATGTTTTTTTCATGTTAGACCAAACTTGTGAAGCTTTAGCAAGCTAAGTGTGCAAATAAATGTGTAATTTACATCTGCATGCAAAAAAAAAAAAAAAAGAAAGAAAAAAAAAAAAGAGCCATTTTTAAATGGACCCAGATCTGTTTTTCTGCATGGGACCAGTCTGATACTAAACCTTAGATATCTGTGAAAAAAGTGGATGGGTCCCGAATGTATAGAAATCTGATCAAATCTTAAAGAAACCATCTTCAATAACTCTTACATGTAATTTCCCTTTTGAATCAATAAAGTATTGTTGATATCTAAAATATCTTTGAATCTAAAATCAGACACACAGTTAAACCTAAAATAATTATTAATGGCAGATGTTGGATATAGTATTACTTCGACTGGATGTAATAAAAATATTTTGAACTGGCCTAGTCAAAGTCCTGACTTGAATCAGACAAACAATCTGAGGAAGGTGCTAAAACATTAGGGTGGTGGCCAAGAGGCCTTCCCACCTAAAACAATGTAATAAGATTTTTTTTTACATTAATTACTGAGAACATTATGAATAATTTTCAACATGTCATTTTTTAACTAAGATATAGGTGAGAAATGTTTTTGTTTTTTTGTTTTTTCAGAAACCACCAATCAGGAGCAGCTTCCTGTTAACTACTCATAACTCAAATACTCAACTTACAGAACCACAAACAGAATCATTTCAATCCTTTAAACTGACTCCAACAACGGAGAAAATCTTATTTTAAGATTTGATGGAGTTTTTATTTTAAAATGGAAAAAAAAAAAAAAGCCAGAATTTTAATTTGTGTGAAACTAAAACTGCATTCCTTTAAACACACTAAAAACATTAGAAAGGCATGAACATTGAGAGTTACACACCACCAATGTGACCATAGTTTCTAAATCAGGTGACAGAATCATCCCTGTGAGACATTACAGAGCA